TGACATTTTGTTACCTGACAAGAGAGATAAAATGTTAAACTTTTCTCGTCACAGAAAAACAAGTTTTTTCCCAAAAAAACAAAAAAAAAATATAAATTCGGGTGTATGTATATGGAAAAAGTCGTAGATCCCAACTTTTATTTAAAAAGACCTAACTTAATTTACTGGGGATGCTACTCCCTCAATCTCCCTCTAGGGGATGGTGGGGGTAATATTTTTATACAAGAACGTTGTAAATCAGGTGTATTGTAAATATTTCAAAAATAAGGTTTTTATCTCCTATGTAACATATCTTGACTTGAATAGCCCTCAACAATAATCATTTCTTGTCCACGTAGATAATATACTTACTTAAATTTTTTAACTTAATAAAAATTATAAAAAAATACATATTATTATATTAAAGTTTTAATAATCGTGTTATATATACCTACGCAGCAACAAATTCGTTATTCTCATTAGTCAAAAGAAAAATTTACAGTATTTTATTTTGAAAATAATTTAATGTTTTATTAAAAATGTCTTATTTTCTGTTAGGAATAAGCGACATTGCTAGTTTTGTAAAAACTTGCTTAATAAATTCCTTAAATATTTTTAATTGTAAGTAGGTATTAATAAGATTATTTAACGCTATAATGCATTAACCAATGACAATCATCTTTAATACCAACAGACGCCAATCAACACAAACTGTATATGCATGCTGCAGTGTTTTTACTCAATCCTGATTGTAATTAAAAAATTCAATTCATTAATGATTTGTGCGAAAAGTCAATATGACGTTTGTCAAAAAGGTTGGATTTAATAGTATATTATTAAACGAGCAATTTATGGTAGCCATTATTCACGCAGGGTGAAGTTTGAGTACCGAGTCGTAGGCGAGGGGCGCAAGTCACCCGAGTGAATAACGGCCATAAATTGTGAGTCTAATACTATACTTTGTCCACGACCATTATTGTTTATTAAATAAAAGTTAAGTGTAGAATGGAAAGTTTTTATTAAACATAGGTAACTAACTGTTGTTTTTTCAACTTTTCAATTTTCCGATTTTCCAATTTTTCTAATTTCTGATTTTTCGATCTAGAAAATATCGTTATGAAAAGTATCGGCCATCTTTAGTTATTTACCGGAAATTGCCAGAATTACAAAAGCGTGAATTACCATAATTCACTCTAGTGATATATGGGTACCATATGCTTTTAGTTAGGAGGTAGAATATTGATTTATTATTAAGTGGTCGTGGACAAAAAATTTAATTCATTACCAGAGTAATGTATCAGTGATTTATATGAAAAGCCAATATGAAGTTTGTCAAAAAAATGACGAAAAATGCACAAAAATCGTTTTGATTCTTTAAATATATTTTAAATACAGAATCGACTACAGCTTATGAAACCAAAGCAAATGTTTATGAAAGTTCTGTTTATATTGTTAAATAATCTTTTCAAACATCACGCGAGGTAAGAATTTTTTTTTAAACATTTTGTTGTTTCCTTACAAATTATGCAAATTTCACTCCCGTAATTTTAAGGAGGATTTTGTTTCGAAAAATTTAGACGCATTATTTCCAGAAACAAAAAACTGTTCTCAAAAAAATGTTCACCTCTTGAGGTATTACCATTGATAATTACTTATGGAGCCATGGAAATTGTTTAGTCGTTGATTGTGATTTATCCAAAAATTAAAAGATAAGCAATAAATTCAATAGCTAATACTATTATTGTTTTATTAGTAAAAAAATAAAATAAATAAAAACAACGGAAGAACAGGTAGCTCAGTAAAACACTACTTACTTACTATTATACTAGTAAAAACATACTTATAATAATATATGTATAAAAAAATATTTAAACTCGCTAGCATCTGTCTTTATTAAATTTCTTTTTTCTTTAGGAAGCTGGCTTCTGTAATTTACCAGTGTACATATTCTGCACTACAGCTTTTATGAAAGTCCATTTTTTATCTTAAAATATGCAAAAGTGAACACTCGGTATAAAATAATCTCAAGATGTTTGTTGCGGTTCATTCTGATATTCAAAATTTTCTTTGGAATCATACCACATATGGCTGACAATTTAAAACCTTACAATGGTTATATCTCATGAACTAAAGACATATTCAGAAAAGTATAACCTAATAAAAACAATTTATTTTATACTCATGGACTAGAATATACAGGGTGGATCACTAAGAACTGCATCGATTGATATCTCAGAAACTGGATGTAGGAAAAAATTGAAATCTGGAAACTTGCTAGATGTCTTGGGGCCTATTAAGTAATTCCGGTTGACCGGAAATATACCTTAAGTTGCTTATTTTAAATAGGGCATCCTATTATTATTACAATTTTGAATTCTACTTCAGATTCCAGGGAGGTTTTATGTATCATATCATATGCCTAAGTCAAAGCGATTTTACAATTCCAGTTTTTATATCAAAAATGACGTTGGTAAGTTCTAATATAATTATCAATAAGTCCTATAAGGAAGCTACTTACCTCGGGTTGGATTCCTTGGGTTTAAGGTTTAAAATGAGATTAAGAAAACTGCCAAAAATCGATTTTTCAAATGGAACCACTCATTTTTCTTATTTTGTAGTGTTTAGCATCTAAAATAAAGGTAACCTTGTATAAAGTTGTCTACAGGGTTGTCCGTTAATAATGGGATACATAGCAACTCAATAAAAGTATTCCGATATAACACAATTTACCTTAGTTCAATATTAAAGAACATACATGGTGTTAAAATAGATATATCTACAGCAGTTAGTATTTTTATTGAAATATTTGACGCCAAATTATAACAGTGGACACTTCCGCCGACTATCTTGTAAACAATCTTATATAAAGTTATTTTTAATACTAAATACTACAAAATGATAAAAATGGGGATTTCCATAAAAAAAGACTTTTGACAGTTTTCTCAATCTCATTTTAAACCTTATTTTTGAACACCCTGTATGATAAGTTGTTCAAATATAAAAATCTATTAAACTATATTCTTTTTAACAAGGCATTCAACCTAAATTAACCAATAAGATCTCTGGTTCTCTGATTTTTTCTTGATCTACTTTGGACCACTTTAAGATATGGACAATATTTAGAAATAAAAAAATATTATTTTTGAAATTGGTAAGATACGCAACTTTCTGATTTTTGTCAAAGGATTTGAGTCAAATCCTTTCGCTCCTGATGAAGCTATTAAACAATGGCGAAATATTGAGCAAGTAAGGAAAAGAGTTTTATTTCTTAGGACCGCAAACCTGATATTATCTTCACTTATAAATATTTTCCGGTCGAAAAAAAACTATCTCCTTTTTATATATATATATATATATATATATATATATATATATATATATATATATATATATAAATAAATAAATAAATAAATAAATAAATAAATAAATAAATAAATAAATAAATAAATAAATAAATAAATAAATAAATAAATAAATAAATAAATAAATAAATAAATAAATAAATAAATAAATAAATAAATAAATAAATAAATAAATAAATAAATAAATAAATAAATAAATAAATAAATAAATAAATAAATAAATAAATAAATAAATAAATAAATAAATAAATAAATAAATAAATAAATAAATAAATAAATAAATAAATAAATAAATAAATAAATAAATAAATAAATAAATAAATAAATAAATAAATAAATAAATAAATAAATAAATAAATAAATAAATAAATAAATAAATAAATAAATAAAGTCAATTTATCGAAACATTTCATACCATATTTTCTAGATTATTCGAACATAATTGAATAAGTTCTATCACAACGAATTTTACGTAATCTTCGAACATTCGGAATCAATGGTATGTTATTATCCAAATTTAAAACTACACATTATTATATTTGCTGAGAACCTAATACATTTTTTATTTGTTACCTTACAAACGTACATTCTGAGAATCATAAAATCTAATCTAAGGGCGCAGTTTAATGCTAATATACTTTACTGCAGTTATCTAACAAAACAAATAAAGCTTTATTGCATGACTGTTTCCAATGTTTTAGATCTTTTTAAGGTGAAACTTCTCCAAAATCTATGTTTGTCTAAGATAAATAAAACTTCGCCAAGGTGGGTCATGGTTAAGTTTACGAAATTAGATCTCGTTGATGTTTATAGTCATTTTAAACACCTGTTAGAAACATATTTTGAATTCCTGGTAACACTTGATAATACAATTTGTTTAATTAAATATTATTGCTTTAGTTCTTTATTACTTCCTATAAGCTGAGTTATTTACAGTTGCAATGTGATGGAGTACTAACTTTCCACTTAAGTATTATAATATATTGTTTTAATTATTATAGGGTAATTCATTGAGGCTGGCATTCGGCCATATCACTCACAGTTTGTCTGACAATTTCGGATTTTTTCTTAATTTGCCAAAATAAAGTAACTACCTACTCAAAAATATTGTACATTGCTGCTAGGTGTCGCAAAATACCGAGTGTCCCATTATATTTCCAACATTTAGCAAGCTTACAACTTTTAAACGAAAGTACTTAAAAACATGTAGTTTTCACCGAAATGTATCAAATAATTCCAAGTTTTATTTCGGTCAATCCAAAATTATTTAGCGCTTTCGGTTTACTGAAAAACAAAATGGCGGTTATTTAAAGACGTATTTGTTAATTTTTTTTAATGGAACACCCCGTATATTTTTAAATGCTCCAAAAGCCAGTCCTTTTAGGTTATCTGGCGATATAAAGTTTTTTGAAATCGATGAAGAAATGACTGAACAATAAAATTTTCTGAAAAAGCCTGCAAAATCAATAATTAACAATAACTCTCATCAATAATTTTATAGTAGGCTTTGGTACGTTTGTAAGACATGTCAAAGTTGTTGTTTTAACTGTTCTAAAAGCTTAGACTAAGGTTTCAAGTGATTATTTTTACATTAAAATGTTATTTTCTGAAACAGAAAAGGCAAGTATCATAGTTAATTTTGCTGAAACAAAATCTATTATGCGCACAAGACGAAGATTTTTTAGAGAATTTAATAAAACAGCTCCGACATACAAGACGTGGTTTAACATTTTCAAAAATAATGGATCAGTAGCCCGAAAAAAACGAAATATCGGCAATGATAATCTTTTACATGATACCATTGGTGTATACGAGTTTGTTACTAGATATCCCAAGTCATCTATCAGAAAAATAGCGTCACATTTTAATATGAGTAGATCCAAAGTTCATAGACACAATTGTAGAATTTGGAGTGAAGAGAATCCACATGAATTTTATGAAAGTGTAAGAGACTCTCCTAAAGTGAATGTTTGGTGTGCTGTGAATAAATACAAGATTTACGGGCCATTTTTTTTTTGCCGAACAATTACCGGTCAAATTTATATGGACATGTTAGAAATATTTTTTTACCCGCAAATTGACCAGGATGGAGAATTACATGAATCTATTTTCAACAAGATAAAGCACCATTATTCACTGATTGCTCGTCAATCAGTTTCTAATAAATTCGGTAATAATTGGATTGGTAAGACAGGACCAGTTGAATGGGTTCCAAATTCGCCAGACCTAACAGTGCCAGATATTTTTATTTGGGGATATGTTAAAGCTTTAAACGGAGGACATAAAGAACATTTAAATTATTCTTAAATTAATTAATACTAATGTTTGTTAAAATGTTAAATAAGTTAATAAGGCACTAGAATATCATTAATAAGCAATAATTATTGTTGACTATTTCAAAAAACTTTATATCGCTAGATAGCTAAAGGGATTGGCTTTCGGAGCATCAAAAAATATACAGGGTGTTCCATTAAAAAAAATTAACAAATACGTCTTTAAAACGCCGCCATTTTGTTTTTCAGTAAACCGGAAGTGCTAAATAATTTTGGATTGACCGAAATAAAACATTTCGGTGAAAACCGAATGTTTTAAAGCACTTTCGTTTAAAAGTTATAAGCTTTCTAAATGTTGGAAAATATAATGGGACACCCGGTATTATTTATAAAATTAAAAACACTTTAAATTTCCTGAAATAATTTAAAAATTCGGAAACAAATCTCATAAGTCCCTCTACGAATTATTAAGACCATCCCCGAACCCAAAGGTGAAAGCATATACTGGGAGATTTGAAAAAAAGCCTGTCATCGGTGGGATTCGAACCCTGATATCTTGGTCCTGCACACAAATACCTACCTCTAGACCATCACGACAAAGATGGCTGGGTTGGAATCCCAGAGATGAAAGGCTTTTTTCAAATCTCCAATTAATTGTTTTCACCCTTTTTGAAATGTTTCCGAATTTTAAAATTATTAATTCAGCCACTTATTTCTCCGATATAGGTACTGATTTTTTGGATTTAGATTTGCGATTTCTCGATATTAAATTTACAATTTCACTTTTAATTAAGCTTAACGAAAAGTATCAACATTAGATTATTAGATTACTGTGCACAACTGTTGTTTAAGTAATTTATTTGTATCACATATGGTTGAATGAGGAAAGCAAATTTTTCTTAAATATTAAATGTAGATAAAAAAGTAACAGCACATTTGATATTTCATCTGGCAACTAAAGGACGTTACATGAAATTTAGCCGTTATTAGGTACGCATTTTTATGAAAAAATTTCAATACCTATATGGCTAGTAACCACACATGCAAACGGTGTCTGATTAAGGTCTGTTCGAGGGCCTGTTAGTGGCCCGGCTTAGCAAGTTTACTTCTATGTATCAATATCTGCAGTTAAATCGCGTGCGACTGGCACTTGGATGAGTGACCATTTTAAGGAGAGTCCGTGTTTCTATAAAGCCCAAACAACTGCCCGCGTAGTTGCATACCACAGCGGGTAGGCTTTATATCAATGAGTATGAGGTATAGCGTGTAGTGTGTCATCTTTCGGAAGAGATGTAAAACCGTCGGTATTAAGTCTGTAGATATTAAAAGATCCCTACCTCTGGTTGGAATACCAAAGGATTCGGCAAAACTTCTGGTATTTGGGGGTAGAAATGCTCGTCAGCGTCGGTGTTTAAACCTCGTAGTTAAAAACAGGCCGACGTTAAGTAAATTAATAAAAAAAAAAAAGGATATACCTTTTTAAAAACGAAAAAAGGTCGAAAGTACAAGTCATCACTGAAAAGATAATTTTATAAGTAATATTGCGTAATTTTTATTATTGCCCTATATATCGGTACAAAAAAGAGCCAAGCGTGACACCCTATTTGAAAGGTAGTTTTAATAGTACTTTAATGAAAAAGATAACAAAACATAATTAAAGTAAACTTTAACTTAAATAATTAAGAAACCCTTCAGAATTAAAACTTTAATAGCCATCAATCTAAATAAAACATGCATGATCCGTATTAAATTACTAATAAAATTACCGTTCAAATGAAGTATCACACTTAACAATACGAAACAGTTTTTTTATTTTGCTAGAGGACGCTAAAATTAAAAGTAACACAATGAACAATCATATTTCCGAATTCCCAATAAAATTACCTTTTCAATGATGAGTCATACTTGGTACTTTCCCTATTTAAATTGTATAGGTTAATCACGGAGTGGAGGGGAATGAGGTATGCTAGTTGAGGATATTATAGATAAGAGTCCCTATGGAATAAAAATTTTTACTTGCATTGTTAAAATTATTATTAAGTAGGGAAAACGTTTACTATATTTTTCAAATAAAAATTAATGTGATGAATAAATATGACAATAAAATTCAAAATTCAAAAAATGAAAATGCAAATTAAGTTATGTTGGTTTGATCTTAAATATTCCCGAATTTTTTTGTGGATGTTTAATTTCCTGAAAGATTTTCACATTTTTCTTAGTTATCATATTACAAGTATAGTGTTCAATGTAGTCAACTGGGGATAGTTCAAAAGAGTTTTAAAGGCCATCATCCGCCGGAATTTTTAAGCCGAAAACAGCGGTTAAGCTAGCTTATGCTTATGCATGTGATGAAAGAAAACGTATTTCAAGGGATGCATAAGAACAAAATGATTAATTTTTTTTAAACATTGCTATTATTCAAGATAAAAAGGTAACAATATTACGTATTTTAGGGCGCTAATCATGTCGTTATAAGAAATAATTTGAAAATCTAATTCTATATAATATCTCTGCTGCAAATCTTTAACTGTTCTTTCTTCAAAAAAGTCAAAAAATAAGTTATTAATCACGCACGGCCTGACCCTCTGCAAGTAACATTTTTCTAACCATAATGTGGCGCAATTCGCACTGAAATCTATTAACAAAACTAATAGATAAACAATCTATTGACCCGCCTTCGTCAAGTGTGAAATTTTCAACGGCCCGCACCCCCCTGAAAATTTTAAGTAAGGGATCGGTTGGAAGATGACTCCATTGTTTTATCTCGTCTATATTATTAATAATTTTATGATGAATTTAAATTCAACTTTAGTTTGGGGTTAAAAGTTAAATTTTTCTCTTATGTTTACAATATTCCTGGTTAGCATAATATTTATATCTGTAAATTATTATGAATGCCTTAGCCAAAGTACTTTAAACCGGTAAATTTATTAGTTATTGAGAAATATAAAATACTATTGGATAAGTTCGACTAAATTACTAAGATAAACGTCGGTATCGGAAAATTCTCTGTTTTATTTACTGTATTAGATGCCGATTGAAAATGATTCTAGCAATCGAGATTAACCGATCAACTTAACATTTATCGTAATTTACATCCTATAGAGAAACTGTACAGTAAACAAGCAATCCTCAGAGTCTTAAAAAGTAAATTCAACATCAACAACATAGAAAATTACCATAATTGCGCATACATCCGAGCGTCACGTCTTCACCGGCCATCACCAAGAGCCATCCAGAGTTTTATCCTTATTCCTCTTTCGCCAATGAAAGAGATGAGAAAGGTCAGGATCGCAAGCACTCAACAGCTAATCCTCAAAGGTACATATATCACTTAGCAAAAAAATATGCACTGTTAAAAATTAAAAAAGCACCGCACAATCGCACTGCGAGATGAGCACCACAACACAAAAAAAGACACAAAAAAAGTCTCCGCGAATGAACAGAAGAAATAAGAAGTGGTTTCTGAAGGTTGCGAGGACTATGGCTATGAAGACGACGTCGATACGGAGAGTACGCTATCTGTACGCACAACCGCTATACTGGTCGTGCAAGTAGTGTTACTCGCTGATGAAGGCCCGGCCTGCTGTACTTTGGGGGGGCACAGGTTTATACTGTGTTTCGATGTACCTGCTCGGCTTCGAGATGTATCTACTTCTTGCAAGTATCGATTGGTATTGATTAAATTATTTTAATCCGAGACGAGATTTTGTTTAACTATCTAGTATGGGAAAAGTATTTGTCCAAATAATCATAATAAGGTGTCGCATCGTTACCTGCCTTTTTTTGATAATTTTAAAGATTCGAAATAATATACACAAAAACTTCTCAATGTAGTACGAGGTGGTATTAATAAATACTTGTTCTACCATACAAAACGCAACAACATTTCAAAACAAAATTCGATTTATTCAACATAATTTCCTTCAAAATTTACACATTTAGAACAACATTGATAAAGTAAAAATTGTAAGCCATAAAAAAATATTTGTTTTGGTCTTAGAAACATTCACTCCTCAACGGCATATATGACTTAATTTTTTCTTCCTTATGTTTTTCGGAACAAATAAACATCCGATGGTGTTACACAGAAAAAACGCTATTGTATTTGCAAGAATAGTCTTTCATTTAAAAACATTCCCTTTACTTCAATTAAAGTAAAATATACAATCAACAAAATATTCTTCAATAATTTGAGCAGTATGTTTATTTTAACTATAGAATAATTTTTAAGTGGTAAGCATAAATATCATTACGTGAAAAAGTAATAAAGTTATTGAAATGGCAAGACAATAATTTGACACAACATTTAATACTTTCTTTAAAATCAAAATTTATTTGATTGAATGAAATTCTCTACTCAAGAACACAATATAACTAAATGATAACAACTATAGTTTATAATCAATAATTAGTAATTATAATATTGTTGTGCGAAAAGAGAAATATATTCATTTAATTTCAGTTGAAATTGGATCTAATTTAAAGTATGATAGGTTTAAATATTTGTATTTTTATTCCAAACTGAGAAGTTTTAAACATAATTATATATTTTGTCAAAGCAATCAATACAATCTTCAATAACTCTTATTGTTAAGACAATTCCGTTCCGTCATTTCGGCGGGGTGGCGGGTGTGGTCGGAAGTAGACTTGTGTATTGTGTATGCCTGCGAATACTTTACGCAGTTTGCAAATTAGAGACAAAGGGTTAGATGCAGTTGTTAGATCCATGTATGTGATTTTAAGTGGCGGCTATTTTGTTAAGTTAAAGTGGATATAAATGAACTCTTAAATGCCTGGGAAAATGAGGAACTAGTTCCAATTTTTTCAGGTAAGTAAATTTCTCGTTTATAGGTATCATGTGAATACTTTCAACGCCCTAGCTTCCATCGCATTTTTCAGAATTACTTTTAGGTAGGTATTGTTCCGGTTTGAACGGTGTTTGTTTAATTTAATTGTAATAAAACAAAAGATTGCATGAAATTCTACTTCGACTCAGCAGTAAAAAAAGAAAATATAAACGTATCATTAACTAAGTCGTTTTCTCTACTGATCCTTTTCTTGGCTTCGTGCTTGCACAAAATCAAAGCCAACACTTTTATGCTTCCGCACGTCTTGCTCTCCGCGAAGAACAGTGTTTTGTTGATGTCTCAGCAAAAGACGAGAGCTGCGGTACGGCTTTATGTAATAAGATATTATGACCTAATAATATTATTGTAATTCCTGTTTGGATATTTATTGATATTATTGCAGTACTATAACATGCCTCTCTCCGAGAAGAGCGATACGTGTTTTATTTTCTTTCCGTTGTCCATGTTCCGGTTTGAAAGGTGTTTGTTTAATTTAATTGTAATAAAACAAAATATTGCATGAAATTCTACTTCGACTCAGGAGTAAATAAAAAAAAATATACACGTATCACTCACTAAGCCGTTTTCTCTACTAATCTTTTTCTTGGCTTCGTGCTTGCAAAAAATCAAAGCCAACACTTTTATGCTTCCGCACGTCTTGCTCTCCGCGAAGAACAGTGTTTTGTTGAGGTCTCAGCAAAAGACTAGAGCTGCGGTACGCTTTATGTAATAAGATATTATGACTTAATAATATTATTGTAATTCCTGGTTGGATATTTATTGATATTATTGCAGTACTATAACATGCCCCCTCCGAGAAGAGCGATAGGTGTTTTATTTTCTTTCCGTGGTCCATGTTCCGGTTTGAACGGTGTTTGTTTAATTTAATTGTAATAAAACAAAAGATTGCATGAAATTCTACTTCGACTCAGCAGTAAAAAAAAAATATGAATGTATCACTCACTAAGTCTGATCTACTGATCTTTTTCTTGGCTTCGTGCTTGCACAAAATCAAAGCCAACACTTTTATGCTTCCGCACGTCTTGCTCTCCGCGAAGAACAGTGTTTTGTTGATTTCTCAGCAAAAGACGAGAGCTGCGGTACGGCTTTATGTAATAAGATATTATGACTTAATAATATTATTGTAATTCCTGGTTGGATATTTATTGATATTATTGCAGTAGCTACTATTACGGTATCTACCGTTTATTCCAAAGTCGCCATTATAGGTAGGTACTTAACTACTTACCTAATAATGATAATGACATTTTTTCTCTGTTCTTTTGTATAAATGAAAAATGGGATTAAATACGCTTTTTTAGATCTATGCATAATTTTTCGAACTGATGTACGTATAATGTGTAGTTTGAAGTTTTGAAGCTTATAAGGCTTGTTTCAGAAGCGGTCCCAACGGTTTGACAACTGTAAGCAGGATGCGCAAGCTTAAGGAATGCCAAAAAAAGGATTGCGCATGCTATCTACAGTTGTTAACCGTTGGAACCACACAGAACATATATCATAAAAAGAAAAAAATCTACTGTTGATCGTAATGAGACACTAAAAAAGAGACCCAGAAAACACGGAAGGTATATCTATACCTTATAATAATATTTTTTTAATAGGACAGATGAATGCATAACTAAATAAAAAAATCAAATTTTCTCTCGATATATTTTGATTTAGTATGATTATTTGAAGTTGTCTTTTAGAAGAAAAAATGCTATGACATGGCTGAAACATAACCGAGAACCGTGGGTTGAGATTATGAGGCACTGGCAATTTACTTTTGATACAAGAACATCTGGAAATTTCAATACAGTCGCAGAATTTATAATAAACTGCCCTATTATTCAAACCCTAGGCTAGATTTATTAGTATGTCATTTATATCTTAATAAATAATTTTCTTTTTACAAAATTTAAAGTAGAATTAGGTACATAATATTTTTTTTAAATATATACAATAATAACTCCACCTACTTCTTTATAAACTAAGGTTGTTATTGTTGTTATATAAAACAGAATAATTTATTATTTCAGATTGAAGCTGATTTCAAATATATGTACCCAGGCAAAGAGCTACAGCTATTGAGCAACTGGCACTTATTTTTCGAAAAACTGTTGGTGTTCAAAAGAAGAGAAATAAATAATTCAAGAAATCCAATTTTTCAAGATCTAATAAGCTCTCTAGAACAAGTAGATTTAACAGAAGGTATGTAGATAAAATAATTTTATATTGAATTAAAACACTTAGAGGCTGAAATTAAAGGATTAATTATGTCATTTCCACTGTATTTTTCCAAAAGTATTAATTGGTATACACTTATATGCAAGCATTGCGTCAGTAACAAAGTTATGTATAGAATTATAGATTCTAAAGTAGTTCTGTAGCTTGCAGTCTTGCCTAGATTTATACCACTGGAAATTTAGTACAACTGAGGCAGTAGATGGGATTTTGATGCATGCTATGGTAAGTTTGCAAGTTTTTAAACATTTCTAGGGACACAATTTGTTTGAAAAAATGGTCATGTCAATTTTGAACAAGCTCCACGTTAGGCCAATATTTATAATCTGATTGTATTTGTAGTAATTAATTGATCAAAACCTCAATATTTTTATTAATTCTACTTGATTAAGTTGACCTCAATGACAAGCAACACTATTTTGTACTACTACTAGTACAATTTTTAGATACCCGGAAATATAGAGAGGCAAATAAAAAACCAGGTAAACCGAGCCCTCAAAGGAAAAATATTCAGGCACGTCCAGCCTTATCTACTTGCAGAAGGACCTCAGCTCTCCCAAATTCAAAATATCTATCTGGTGATCGACAAGATACACTTTCATGTAGAAAGTGCTCTGAAAGGACTGGACATTTTGTTTAAATGTTTTTTTGCCCTTCATACAGAATACCCAGTGCAGAGTGTACATATTTGGCATATACAACAGGTTGTATATGGAATTGACATTCCACCAGATTGTTTTAAAAAGCATTTTTTTATCCCATGACAAAGATTCGCTCAGTGAAAATATACCGCAATTTGCAAATAACATTTTTGTTCCCAGACCTAGTATTGATAGTTGTAATATTGCTAATGAAAAGTATAACGAATCCAGTCTTGATGCGGAAGCAAAGAGAGAAGAATTTTTAACGATTTTACAAAAAAGCAGTTTCAAAATACATGACTAAATTGAATAGGATTTATCTATACATCGTAGTTTTATACAAAAGGTAATATAATTTGTAAAAGAATTTCTTAGTTCTGGTTTTTAACGATATTAAAAGATGTTTTATTTTCTCCGGACTGCTCTGTTAATCGCTCTCATTTGGACGTAGCAGAAGATTAATTAGACAACGTTGTGACTAGTTTCAATTTTATTAATTTAGAATACAAGAGACTTGAGGTCTTGGAAAGTTGTAACAAATATATTAAACCAGTTTCTAAAATAATTGGTAATTCCCAGGACGTATCTAAAAAAAAAATAATATCACCTCGTTAGAATTAAAGCAAAGGACATGTACCTATATTCCAGTTTCCCAAACACTTAAACAGTTTATATCAATACCAGGAGTTCTGGAATCCATCCAGGAATATCCGAATGAAAGCCGTTTACTTTATCATTGCTTCAATGCCACCAATTTACATGAGCAGGTTGGAAAATATTTTTTCCTACGACCACTTAGGAAAGTGACACATATCACACTATATAGTCCTATGGAAAGTGCCCTATATCACACGCGTATGAATAAGAATTTACTTTCCACCCGAGTGAGAATATGTTACTTTCCGCAGCAGCTGTCATAAAATGTCAAACCCATAATTTCTATTTTGATCGATGTAATGTCCATATTAATACTAAAATCGATATGATTGTTAAATTATTGAAATTGTTGTAAATTAGATCCTAGATATTTATCTTTAACAATTATTATTAAAATAATTTTAAAATAACTAAGATTATGTTTGCTTTTTATTCTGGTTAAACATATAACCGATTAGATCATTCAATTGACGAAAGGCCTGTTAGCTCAGTTGGTTAGAGCATCAAACTATAAAATTTGCCATTTGAGAGACCTGGCGAACGACCGCGTTCGAATCCTGGCGGGGCCAGAACTTTTTCTTGTTTTTATTTTATTTTTTTTTGTTTTTTAATTTTTTTTTTGTTTAAAAAATATCAAAATTAAATAAATACGATTGTTGTTGATTATTTTTTTAAATACATTTTAATTATTATAATAACCTGGTTTTACATTTTTTGATGAAAATATTTTGTGGTCGTAGGAAAAATATTGTATATCACTTGTGTGAAAAGTGATTTTCCACACTCGTGTGATAGTCGCACTCGGCTTGTGCCTCGTGCGACAATATTTCCCACTCGTGTGAAAAATGTCACTTTCCACACTCGTAATGTAATATACTATATAACACTAATATTTCATAGTCAATAACGAATTCAATTTGGAAAAAAAGCCATATCTAATTGTCTTCTGGAAGATCTAAAACGATTATAAAACGAAAAAGTATGCTATTGCCTTCAACTGAACGCATATATTTCATATCCATTCTAGGTAGTGCGAACACTGCAAAAAAATTAAATCCACCAATCACCGTTCATATTTTGATCAAACGACTACTATTATTTTTAAAATTTTAAATAAGTGACGATTCTGTCAAACGAATTGTCAGTATATTTTTTAGTTATTGATATTAAACATACATTAAAATGTGTTATTCTTGTGTAAAATCGATAAATAATAGCATTTCTATTTTTATTTCGTCTATAATTATCAATAATTGGTAAATTTAAATAAAACTACATGATGTCAATTTAATTACGAGTATTAGAGTAATAAAAATAAGCGCATAGATGGTCCTGTGGTCAGCGTTCTTGCCTTTCATACGGATGACTCGAATCTAGGATAGGGAAAAATTAATTGATTTTTTCTTTTTTTTTTCTTGTTTATTTAATTTTTAAATTAGTAAAAGTTATAAATTATTTTTCAATTAATTATTTTATCTTAATAACCTAAAATAATTTTTAATATTTGTAGATTTTTGTTAGTGGGTCGTAGAAAAAATATACTGTATAGTGTACAACCCGAGTGGATTGTCCATATCCACTCTTGTTGCACAAACTACTATTTTCACACACATGTGATTCTCCCACTCGGCTTATGTCTCGTGGGACAATATTTCTCACTCGTGTGCAACATGTCACAATTCACACTCGTAATGTAATATACTATTTTATACCCCATGTATATTATCCGCTTTAAGCATAAGTAGGTGATATGAGTCTACTGAACGAATATAAAATACATTCTAGTAAGGATATGAAATCTGTTAAAATGATTGTAAGAAAATATCATTTATTGAAGGACATATCAAAATTGTGTCAGTAAAACTTCATTAAATAATCAAAGAACGACTATTATTGCAAATATATTTACAAAGAAACTGCAAATTTTAATAAAATTATCTAAAACTAATTTAAATATATCAATAATAAGAAAACTTATACTATATGAGGTCCATGGGATCCGGGGTTTAAATTTATTTTATATTTTAGTAAAAATCATTTGTCCAAATTTTTGTGCTAGTTTTTTTTTTACTTTGGTGTCACCGGCATCGACTACTAAGGCCATTAGCCTCGTGTTCTGTGTAGGCTTTGTTACTGTTTCCCAGCGCCACTTAAGGATCAGCACTGTTAATTAGAACCCAACAGTGAATGGCCAACGGTGGGATTCGAACCTTGACCCTTGGATCGACAAGCAGCGACTCCCCTGAGGCTAGTTATTATTTTTAAAATGATATTAATAATCTCTAAACTAATTTTAAATTTTTGCGTATTTTGCATTTTATTCAGTGGGTCGTAAAAAAATATATTGGAGTGGAATGTCCTTATGGCATGGCCCTCATATCCACTCTTATTTCCATGTAAGTTTTACACAATCTGATTTGGGTAAATATTTGCCCATTTAGTGTTACGTTTGAAACGTTACTTCGAAATTTTGTAAATGTTACCAGGACTAATTTCATAGTTCATTTATATTCTCAATGTCCTTGATTAATCGTCAATTTTGTAGAGGTGTTCTTGTAAGTATCCTGCAGCTATGTTAGGGTCGGAGTTGTTTATCATCATCGCTTTCTTATCTGGGAAGCAGGCAGTAGGTAATTAGCTTTGTAAATATCAGGTAAAGAATAGCTCTGAATAGGCACCCTATGGGACACTTTTGCTCTTACCGGCAATATATCTTTTTTTTCTTGTCTGTACTTTAGTAAAAAAATATCTTTCTTGTTAAGTATCATTTTAAAATAAACATTGTGTGTGGAAATTATTTTTCAATTAAAGCAAACCTTTTGCAAAGGCCTTGCTAACATCTAGGAGCGGGAGCAACACAGTAGTTGCTGCTCTATAAGGACCAATTCAACCGTGCTATACTGCGTGAACTGTTAACTTGAAAATGAAAAAGTTCAAATCCTAAACAGATTAAAATGCAAAGAGTAAAAAGTGAAACTTATTTTCCAATAATTTATCTACATAAAAAGCTTTAGGTATCATAATACCTATAAACTTGCAGGTGCTTTTTGTAGTTTAGTACTAGATTATGTAAACACAAGACACTTGAATAAGTAAAAACTAAATGACGCAATTTTCGTTCAGTTTTTATTTCATCAGCCTGCAATTTTATATACATGTCCTTTAAGTTTTTACAAAAATCTAATTAAATTTATGCACGCACGATTTTACTGACCTTGGGTCTAACTTAAATTGTTTACTGAATTTTTGTCATCAAAATAAAAACTGTTTGTTACATATGTTGCCCGCAGCTAAACCTAAAGATTTATTTATTAATCTTAGAAAAAACTAGTAAATTCAGAAATATAACAATTTAAATTGCTATTTCATTGTTCATGAAGGTAAGGTTGCTTTTTATGTTAGTATATTGTGCGAAATTAGGTAAATTTTAAAATAATTTCGAGTGTATGAAACCCCAGATACTATACTTTGTCGATTTAACCTAAATTACCTTAATCCGAAAATGGTTCATAAGGAAGCAACTAAAATATACTCGTAAATACAAAAGTTTGGATGTGTGCATGGATGTTTTTTGCTCAATCACGTCAGAACGGCTGGAAGGATCTAGATAAAATTTTGCACAAATATAGGTTATAGTCTGGAACAGCCCATAGGCTACTTTTTATCCCG